TGGGAAGAGTGAACTTTCAGTGCCTAGAACCCTCAAATAAGTGTCCACATTCAGTTAAATTTTCCCTCTTCCCTTTTATAAGAAATTCTAGAAATATGTTTCAAGATCAGACTATTAAATATTCCTAATGGGTTAAAAGTCCATAGAAAGTATTTAAAATTTGTCAAATTGTAAGTGAAATTAGATTTAAAAAATAAGCACAAAGCATACATGGTGCAAGTGTAGCCAAATAGAGTGCTCAAAAGACAAGAAATGTAGGGGGATTTTATGTAAGATGTATGGGATTGTAAATTCAACCTTTCAAGGGCAATACATTCACAAGCCATCAGGCAAGGAGAAGCAAGAAAGCATAAGGATGCCTTACAAATATGCTTCACGCTCTCACCTTCGGCGAAACTGAATGCCTCCGTCTGGTCATGGATAGGACATGTCATCCAACACAGTGTCCTGCACCAAATTTATATCACAATCCATAAAACTAGATAAAATACTAGCTGTATGTTATGTTCCCCTACAGGTTTTCAGTAAAAAGTTCAGCAAATAATTGACTTCATTAAAAATGGAGGAGAATTGAATCCATACAGTGTTCGATAAGACTGTTTTCGTGAGTGAGTTTGCAAAAACAATTCTATCTTAAACTAGTTGGGAGTATATTATTACAAAGTATTTTTTATTTATAGTTTTAAGATACATTTGTCAATAAGACCAGTAATTTGAAAGGGATGTGAGAAAGAGAAAACAATGCAAGACTCGATTAAGTGTCTAAATTAATAATGAATTATCAGATAAAACTTTGCACTGTTTTAATGTTTACATGATGAGTATATCCCTTGTTTACACAAAGTGAGGTTAGATATAACACATTCGATTACAGCAGTTAGTCTGCGAGAAAAATAACAGTGTATTCCATTAAATCCTAGAAATTATTACTTCTTAAGTTATGCATACCTGAATATCTTGTGATGGGCACACGCAAATTGTTGATTGTCGGACCTATGGACTACTAGCCTAGCTATAGCTAGAACTAGCCATTTCAATATGAGACCCCAAAAAGGTCATGATTGTATAAAAAGGCATCTTGTCACATTGGTAAGATGTTGTCTGAGCCTGCCAATATCATACGGGTAAAGATGATTGTCAACTCATTTACAATATAAATACTTGGACGCAAAAGCATATGAAACATACGTACAAAATGTACGAGTAGTAACTGTTTTGCTGAATGGTATGATGTGTAGTGTATGAGTATGACTGTGACTGTACTTAGAGTAGAACAGAGACATCAACCGGAAATGCATTACGTGCGTTTGCCTTTTGCTTGCCGCGTAAATCGGTTTAAACAAGAGAAAGCGATTGTGTCTTGAACATTTTAATATTTGTTTTGAAAGATGGTGTTTTGTTACCCTTTCGAGAGAAGCAAACAATTCTGTTTGCTTGTAAAGTATGAATGTATGAATGTATCACGAATGTATGAATCAGCAAGTTCAAAATAACCGCCTTTTCTTTAGCGTCGAAGATCGCTATATTTCCGGTCAAATCTCCCTATGGTCTAACCACCGCCTCCTGATAGTCAGTAAGACTGAAATTTTGTCTTGGGAAAAGAGTTAGGGTTACAGGGGTTACAGGGTGAATACATTCATAATTTATTTTGTTTTATTGAGTAGGATAGTTGCTGTCGTCTGCATTTTTCAGTTGTATGGATTGATTTATCGTTCTTCTCACGTTTCGAATTTGTGCCAGTGTGGTAGCACCTTCAAAAGCTGGCTCGGTCGTGTACGTGTAAGATTCGAGAAGGTTATGACAGGTGCCAGTTCGTAATGCATTTTTAGTGTGATATCTGAAGCATTTGATAAAAATGGTACGTACTTTTGTTTTTAAGTTTGTAGTTCCTATTACTAACTTTGGGATTTCGCCTCGCTTCTCTCTTCATGTATTTTTGTTGATGCTGAAATCATCCACTCTACCATTTCCTTGCCTAAAATGAAATCATTAAAGACCCTCATCTTCCTGTATGTATCCTCAGTAAAGTTTTGTGCCGTATAATTCAAGCAACTGCAAAAAGTGTTTTGAAAGACAATATTTTTAATGATTTGCATTTGGTTCTTGCTCCTCAACTAAATTCAGAAATTGAAACCTTTCATTTGAATGAAATGTTTTAATTGCTCGATATATGCCCATCACCCTCAAACTGACTTATGCTTTCAGGATTCTGGAAAGCGTGATGGTTCAGACGAGGTAAGTTACAGCTTTTAATTTAACATAATTTAGTATGTTTACAGAGATTCAATCTTACTTTGTTTCATTAGGGTTTTTGAAATAACTGTTTTACAATTCATTTCCTAAATTTTCTTATGTTTCATTCAGAGTGTCTCTTTATGTCTTGGTTTGACAATATAAGTGCGTCTTTTAAATTGGAGCGCTGTCAATGCACAAGCTAATGTTCTTTCTGCAATATTTTAAATTCATCTATGTATTATAACAGTTGTATTTGTCTGGTATCTCTATAT